CCACAGGGGAAGACCTCTGCTATTACTCACTCTGTGAATCACAAATCATGTGCTTGGGCTAATGCTTCCTCTTAGTCTCCTCAGTCTGCAGAACTGTGCATAGAGCTCTACTGTCGTTTACAAGCCTTCCAGTCTGTGCCATTTGTTGTAACAGTCCAAACAGGACAAGAAAGGGAGGTAGACCTCTTTTTGGAAGCCCCTAGAATCCTTTGTAATTGAAGATTACGGATTCCAAGGCTGCTATTATGAATTAAGGTTTATTTCAACATATGAGAGTGTTCACACTTAACAATTCTAGTTGTCATGTGGTTATTCATTATCACTGTCATTATAAGCCTTTTGAATGGACTGAGATAAACAGAAGGGATTTTGTTTGGGTCTATTCAGGTCCTACAGCACAGAATTTAAATCGCCAACCACAAACAGCAGTCTCTACCAAATTAAAAATTATTTTCATCCATTCTGTAACTGATCACTTTTCCTTTTCCATAGATCCCATCTTTTATACTGTTGTCTTCAAAGCGACCGTCCAGATTTTACCTTAATTTCTGCATTCACAGAGTAAGATAAGGGTAAAAGTCAAACAGCTTAAGGTGTTTAAAAGCCCATGAACCAAAAAAAAAAATTCTAATATCCTGTGGGCTGCTCCCCATGCTGCGGCTAATATGACAGATGGGCCAGACAATGTAAATCAAAACACAATTCACTGAAGGCTGAGTAAGCCATACCAGGATGAGTTTGCATTTTTTCTACTCTGAAGCAAGCCTGTTATACCAAAAACAACATAGAAATTGAGGGTGATTGGACACAGGTCACAGACACAGTGTCAGAGTCTGGAGTTGAACTCTTAATTCTCCTTCCCAAATTTAGGACTGCAGAGAGGCACCATCATCATTCCAAGCTGTTCAGGCAATGAGCTTTCTTTGTTATCTTGTTGTTGTTTAATAGTTTTTTTTCTGAAGATTTTCAGGTACCAAGGAAAATTAACAAACAAAAAATTGAAGAATTCCTATCTATCCCCTGGCCCCACAGATCCATTGTATCCCCCATTGGTGTTAGAACACATGAACCTATGTTGGTAAATCATCATTCCCAAGAACCCACACTTTAAATTCAGGTTCCCCTTGTAGATCTGTGGGCCTTGACAAATATATTGTATTCATCATTGGTATCAAACAGAGTAATTTTACTGTCCTAAAATTTTCCTGCATTGGCTTATCCATCCTCCCTCCATGACCCTTCACAACTACTGACCCATTTACAGGTCATTCAGAACATTGTCTGCCCATTGTACAATAGTTCCCAGGAAGGAATATGAAGAGAGCTATTTTCCATTCCTTTCTTTCACTGTCACTCGACAGTGCAAGCTGTTCTGAGTTCTCCTAAGACATTGTATGTTACCATAGCTAACAAGAATCTGTCATGTGGGCTGGGATCTAGCTCCATGGTGAAACATGTGTATAGCTGAGCGGAAGCCCTGGGTTCCACTACCAGTACCACAGAAATATATGAATATCTAAATAAATGTAGTATACCATGAAAGGAACTCAGTACTGTTTGAAGTCTTAAAAAAATACCAATAATAGAACCAGGAATTGCTGCTTCTGTTTTGTGTTTCATGGATACACACCCACTGCAGAAGGAATATTTCTTGGTGATCTCCTCATTTGCTTCCTGGGACTGTGTCCTGCAGCATTAATTTATGGATAATTTATCATGCGAATGTGCTGTCTGCTCCTGGTATCTATTAAAAGCAACCTTCAAAAAGTAAATTGCAAAACCATTTTTATTTAAGTGTTTTCTTGAATGTATGTGTGTGGTGTGTTTGTTTATGTCATGTATGTACCTGTATATTTGCAGAAACCCAAAGAGGACATGAAGTGTGCTGCCCTGTCACTCTCTGCCTTATTCCTTTGAGACAGGGTCTCTTACTGGAGCTGGAGTTAGGCTGGCAGGCAGCAGACCCCAGTGATCCTCCTGTTTCTGCACCCTATAACTTTTGAGTTAGAGGCATACATGGTCAGGCCCTGATTTTAAATGGGGCTGGGATCCAAACTTACACCCTCATGTTTACAGAACAAGTGCTATTATTCACTGAACCATCTCTTTAGCCCTGGTATTTTCCTCTCCCTACCCCTTTCCCCCTCCCTCTCCTCACTCTTCCTTTCCCCCTCTTTCTCTCTCCCCTCTCCCGTCCCTCTCCCTCCCTACCCCCCCTTCTAATTGTATGTATGCTTGCTGACTCTGTTGGGAAGAACCAACAGAAAGTGCCTAAGGATGGGAATAAAAAGTATTCTGCTGTATCAGGAACTGTATCAACATAGGCATTCTGCTACTGTATTGTGATGATTCAATGTCTGTTGGATCTGTGAGGAGGGTATTGGGAAATTGAACGTGCTGCTATTTCTATGTCTCACCACTCATCATCATAATCTGCCACTTAATTAGATGCATGAAAAAAGTAGTCCTTGAGTAAGTAAAAGAATGCCAGAAACGATGTTCGGTATTTCACTCACCCCAGTGCCTGATTTCTGAATGTGGTTACTCTGAGGTGATCATCTTTTAATTATGGCCTCAGGGACTTGCAGGAATCCCAGACAACTTTGGAAGAATCACTTTCACCTTTAGCTGACAGAAAGGGGAGGGGGACATTAGAAATAGAAGGAGCTTGCAGAGCTCATATTAACCATTTTGCAGTTAATGATAAATTCTGAGTAGGGAGATTTCATTTTGCTGAGATGGGAGATAGGTTATAAAACACAAATCCATTCCCAGATTTGGCCTCTAATAATGTTTGATTTTACAATTAGTCCTTTCTTTTTTATTCTGTTAGTGTTTTAACTGTCAGTTCAAGTAGGAGTTATAGATGTCTATTAATGGTTCATTAATCACATTCGAGAGATCATCATCTTGGAAACTGGAGGATGGAAATTTTAATTTTCTTCTGGACTGCCAGCCAGGTCTGTGCCTATGGGAGGGAATGCTCTCCACTTGTCATCAGCTGACACAGTTTCTGAGGCCATTTGTTAATTATCCCACTTGATGTGAAGTCAATTTGATTTAGAATCCTGGCTTTCAATGAAAGCAATTGTAGAATTCAAGTAATTCATGCTCTACACATGTGTAACATAAGACATTTCTGTTTTCTATGGCTGCTCTCATTTCTTCAGAGGCCCTTTTAGGGGATGAGTTTGGACATGGGGCCTGTGAGCTGCTATGTTTAACATGCAGGAAAGGCTCACTCAGCTGTTTTGGGTGACAATCACAATTTCTGTTTCCTCCTGCTGCTATCCAACAATGGTTTGGGAGGAGAGTTCAGGGTGAGCGGTTTTATCTGTCTGATCTCACATAGTGATAAATGAGACCAAGCAGCAGTAGGACACCAGGAACCTTGTTGATTCTTGCTTGGGACAAGTTGTCAGGCTACATAGGGTCCAGCTTGTCACCTGGTCCTCACGTTGGAGTCTGCCCTCCAGATGTTTGCTCTTAGTATACCATCCATGCATATTGTTTCAACTTCAAGCTCTTGTTCACCTGCTGGTCTCAGCACCTCTACTTTTTACTGTGAAGGTCTGCGAGAAATTTGTCATGTCTTGACTATGGCATACAAATGTAAAAAAAAAAAAAAAACACTGTCTTAGGCCTTTCCTGCTTTTTTACTTTTAAGGATTTTTGTTTTTATTTTAATTGTGGTGGTGGGTAGGTGCATGTGTGTGCAGGTGCCTCTAGTTCTCTGTAGTATCAGCATCAGTGCATGCTCTTAACCACTTAGCCCTCTCTCCAGGCCCATCTCTTCTTTCTTGCTCATCCTCATATGATGTTAAATATGCATGGAGACTGTGTTCCTTATAAGGCTTCTGCTGGGTTCCCAGGACAAAGCAGCTCTTGGGAACCACACTTGTTTGGGTATATCTATACTCCCTCACAGTCTCTTTAGAGTCCATTCCCATGGAAGGGAGATGATGTGGTTTCCTTTTTGTGGTCGTCATGTATTGTTATTCTCAGTACATAACAACTTGATTTTTTTTTAATTTAACACTTGATCTGCCTAAATACTGAACCCCAAACTTCAAGGGATAGAAACATAACCCACCTAAGCAAACTTCTTTCCCAGGCCTGAGATTCTCTGAACATCTGAAACTCCTTTCTTCTCTGGCTCTTGCTTCTCTGCCGGTGTCTGAAACCACCCCGGGTTGCTGTGGGAGAGGACTCCTGATTCACATCCTTGTCTTGCTTCTTTTTCTTCCCTCCCACTTCCCCTCTCATCCTCCAAACACAAAAGAAGTTTGAATCTATTTGTTTCTGTGCAGGTGAACAGTAGTAATTCTGTCAAAATGAGACTTCATGCATGTCAGGAGACTGGCAGCAGGTAGCCCACACTCCTTTGAACTTCCTGTTTTGAAGGAATTTACAAACCTGAAAGAAAAGGAAAAGAAAGTCAGAAACTTATAGGAAAATTACAGTATGTGGTCTTCCTGTTTCTGAACTTACCTTCTCCATGAAAAGCAGACATCCCTGAGTAACAGATTTCATAATCACCATAGAAAGCAATACAGTTTGGAATTTGTACTAGCTCAACTGACTGAATGAAATTAGTTGTGTAACTTGAGGTAAAGTGAGTACCACTTAAAAGCAGCCCAAGAAGGTACATTTGCTTCGTGGGATGCTGATATCCCCTGTGGCTTATCAGCTGTGCATGGACATCAAGGAAGGGCATCCTTGGTTGAACTATTCAGTTTGAGCCACTGTGGATACTTGCTTCCCATACATATTTAGTCCAAGTCCTTTCCCCTTGATGTCTGTAGAAGGTGTTTGAGGCTCTGGAGACATTTGCCAGAAGGAGAAGGATGCAGGATACTTTCTTACTGGTTGCTGCTTATCTTGGAGGCACTGCAGGTGACCTGATCATGGTGGCATTTGCTCAAGCTCTGCAGAAAAAATCATTAATTGCTGGCACTGGCACACCTAGAACTCCCTTTATCTTTTTTCTTCATTTCCAGCCTGGATGTGTAAATACCACAGAAGTGGACATTAAGAAGTCATCCCGAATGAGAAACCCACACAAAACACGCAAGGTAAATGGCCGTGTGTCCTGTTGTCTTTCTGAAGTGTCTGCTTTCAACTTCTTCATCTCAGAAAACCCTCCTCTGTTGTCACAAGCATACTTCACCCTGGGGATCTGTCCTGGTAATTCCTTTTCTGGAATGATGTAAGCAGCATCCACCATTCCTTGTAAAATCCCAAATGACAAGCTAAAGGACCTTCCACCAGAGTTTGCCCTCGGGAACCAACCAATCTTTTGGGCTTACTTACAGAACAGGGTTGAGAAGGTACTTACAGGAGTATAAGGTACCCCAAAAGTAGCTGCACTGGAAAGTCCCCCACATTTATGGACAGCAGCTTTCCAATGATTACATAGATAGAGTTCCCTCTCAGTTAACTTTCCCTGGGTATTCTGGGATCATCCAAGACCCTGAGTCCAAGCCCAATTAGGGCAAAATTGTTTACAAATGGTTGAGTGTGCAGGAGGGAATCTCAGGTAAGAGTCCAGTGACCCTCCTTATCCCCACTTTCTCTGAGGGAACTCAACAGTCAAAAGACCCGCTGGTAATGGTCTCTTGCAAGTGGCCACCACTGAGCTTATGTCTTTGGTTGCTGGCTTTCTTGGAAGACCATACTCTACAACCCATAGGAGGGTGATGCCCTGTGACTATGACAGGAGATAGGAAGAAAGCTGGTATACTTCATTCTCCATCGCAAGATAGGTGTCCTCCTGAAACCCAGAAGACAGTAACAGGAGATGGAAATGTCTGGGGAAAGATGATACCAATAAAAATACAGTGTTTATGGGGGATGATTCTGAGGGAAAAAATGAAATCTAAAATACAATTAATTACAGAAAGAGTAGAGGTCTTACTCTTAACACCCTTGAGGAAGACTATTTCTCCCACTCTGGTAGTTCCATAGTTGCCTGAAGTTCTTTGTCTAGGAGGGGAGACCTTTATGAGCTTTCCCCCTTTCCATGTTACTATGTTTATTGGTATCTTTCTTCAGGAACTATTTAGACAGTTTTGTTGATGAAATTTTATGGGTATAGCTTTCCTGGAATTTCCAGGAGACATAATCTCACAGCAAACTTCCTGTTCTTCAGGCTCTTATAATCGATCTCTCTGCTTCCTCTTCCACAATGATCCCTGAGTCTTAGGTGAAGGAGTTGTGTTGCAGATATATCAGTTGGCACTGGGCTCCAAAGCTCTGGATTTGATTGATTTGGTGGGTTTTCTTGAATGGTTCCTATCTATTTCAAAGAGAAATGTCCTTGATAAAGAGAAATATCTTTATACCTACATTTATCTGTAGGTATAAAGATAAATATTTAAAATGTTGTTATATTGTGGGGTATTTACCAGAGAAGGCGCTCAGATACAAGGTCACATCTAGCTGAGGACCTACTGGTAATTGAAAGCTACTGGAGGAATGAATGCCTGTTTTTTGTTATGTGATAGAGTCTCATGTGTTCCAGGGTGGCCTTGAACTCACTATGTAGCTGAGTATGACATTATGATCCTTCTTCCACTTCCTGAGTGCTAAGATCAAGGATCTGTGCCACCATTCCTGGTTTTGTGCAGTGAAGCAGATGCTAAGCAAACATTCCACTACTGAACATTCCCAGTCCCAGTGAAGAAGGAACTCTTTGTCATTTGTAAAAATATCACACACACACACACACACACACACAACACACACACACACACACACACACACACACACACACACACACACACACACCAGTCTCTAGACAGTACAAGTCATTGAGAAAGAGCATCCTGTGACTCGGTAGACCTTTTCTGTGGTGTTAACCCAATGTAACTCCAGCATTCTTCTAAAGTGAACTTTCCTACATGAAGATGATCAAAACAAAGATTTTTTTTTTTTTTTTGAGGTTTGGGAACCTTATTTAATTTTGCTTTGTTCTTCCTTCAAAGATCCCAATATGGCCAGAGTCCGTTGTTGTCTTTTGAGGCGGTTTCCCTTAATGTTAGGACAGACAAGATAGACAGAGACAGAAAGTCCATTTAGATGCAGTGAGCAAACACTTTCCCACTAAGAACTCTAAAGCCAACCGAATGAAAGCCCGGGCTGTGTGTGAGATGCTCCTGGTTCCTTTCATCTGCTTCCAGAGTAAGCTAGGCTCACTCTAACAGTGGAGCCAAACCGAAAAAAGTCAGCTCTCCAAAATGTGGAGGGTGCTCTCTCTTCTGCCTGAATTATTCACAGATCCTTTCCTGTGGCTGACTTCCATGTGCTACAACTGGGAGAAGAAAGCTGGGGGTGGGGGATATGGTGGAGCATAGGTGTGCTGCGTGATCCATCACTCACCTTCTTCGGCACTACACTCAGTGTTGTTATATGACCTGAGTTTCCTTGGCCTTCCTCCCAGAAATCCCAGTGTAACAGGAGAGCTCTTCACATACCATCATCCTCACACCATCAGCATCTCACATACCATCAGTGATGGCAGAAACCTGAGGTAGCACACAATGAAGTGTTGTAAAAAGAATCAATGTTTTTCCGGCACACAGTTAGGGTTGGTGGATATTATCACCCCAAGAAGTATAATTTCCTGTGTGAGTGTGTTAATTTCAGGTGGCTATAAAGTGGTGACTCCCTATGTATTTTCAAGGATCCCTCCTCCCTCCCTCTTCTTCTATACTGCCCCACTCCCTGTAAACTTTTGATAAGAAACATCAAATGAGCTTTGAGATAGTCCACTGAAAATGTTGAAGTGTTTGCTACCACCAGAGGTATTTTGTTCTGAGACTCTTCTCATTTTAATACAGTCAGTCTATGGTTTACAAAATGACATCCGAAGCCACAGTCCCACCCACACACCTACACCAGAAACCAAGCCTCCTACAGAAGACGAGCTGCACCAACAGGTAGGTCTGCCTGTGAAATGACCAGCTGAGGGTCCGTGTGATGATCATGCAGAGAAGAGAATGAGCATTCATTCATACTGGATGGAGTTTGAAAGGTTATTTGCATGTTCAAGTGTTTCATAGCAATTTACAATTAAAAGACAATGAAAGTCAGGCATGGTGGCACATGCCTGGTATTCTAGCTTTCAGGGGCTGAACACAGGAGGATCAGAAGTTCCAGGAGAGTCGTGTTTAAGCCCAGATTCTATCTCAAAATGAAAATAAAACAAAATTTTAAACAAAGAGGCTGAAGTATCACTCAATTGTAATGTGCTCACTTGGCCTGTGTAAGACCTTAGGGCCAGCCAATCCATGTTCATATTGTGTACATTGATCTGATTCTAAGACATGACCCTTGAAGCATACAATATATGGAAATGCTTTTGAAAACTCTTCACTCATTTTTCAATCTTTTCCTTCAGACCAATTTTGGACCATATACCTGCCTTAGAGGTGTCTTGCCATTGAGACTTGCTGTGTACTCTAAAGCTGTCTCAGAGGACAGGGTAGCAGCTTGGAGACAGTCTGATTTCCACATGGGGTAATAAGATCACCACAGAACATGGGTGCCCTTGTCTCTGCAGCACTGATTTCTCTAACCTTTTGAGGTTTGTCATTATCAACCGTGGTGTGTCATCATGGTCTGCATTGTTCCTTCTTCAAAGTCAGTTTGTCTCCAAAAACTGTTTCAAAGCAAATGCCAGTCTCATATCAAGTCATGGTTGGCTTAATCAGGGGCCTGCTCCCTGACCCTTGACTCATTTTCTCTAATATCTTACTGCACTGTGCTTTATCAATAAGTCATTGTTCACTTTTATAGTATATTTATAATTACCACAAGGAAAAGGTAGTTCATAGGCTTATTTCCTAAGTTAGTTTTATTGTGTATTTATATCTTTATGGGCATGTGTCATGAGCTGATAAGATGGCTTTCAGAATATATCATTTTAATCCTTCCTTTGGATAGCACAAGGATGTAAAATTTATCTTAAAATTATGGTAACCAATAAAGCTGCATTTGTTTTATGAGTGAAATATTTGTAGAGTAATTGGATTCTGAATCTAGTTATTTGTCACAAATGTTTAAAGCCACCATAGTACTTTTCAAATAAGGTTACATTTTCTTGAAGCAAGCATTGTACTCAAATGCATTGCTGTTCTGGGGTTACACTGGTTATATTTACATTCAAATAGAATATATATATATATATATTCTATTTGAATATATATATATATATATATATATATATTCTATTTGAATATATATATATATATCCCTTTCAGGAATTTCTTCTTTAATTTTTTTCTATTTTTTTTTTCTAGAATGTACTCAGCAAGGACTGGAGTTTAGAGTGGTGAACTGAGATGACATTTTTATGTAACTATGTCTTCAACTTTTTTTCCAGATAAAATACTGGCAAATACAGTTAGATAGACATCGATTAAAAATGTCAAAAGTTGCTGATAGGTAAGTATTTTAAGATATTAATATTTTTTTAAAGATGTGTTTAATTTTATGTGCTTGTGTTTTGACTGCATGTAAGTCTGTGCATGTGTGTGCTTTGTGCCCATGGAGGACAGAAGGCGGCTTTAGGAGTCATGGATGTTTTTTGAGGCATCGTGTGGTTTCTGGGACTCAAACCCAGGTAATCTATAAGAGTAGTTCTTAATCACTGAGCCATCTCTCTGGCCCCATGCTATAAATTTTAAATGTCATGTGACAACTGTGTTAAAGATAATAAGCCAGTGGATGGAGGAGAGTGGAAACAAACATTGAAACATTGGCTGCCGTGTGTTGTCTTATCTTTCCCATGAGAAAACTTCTGAAGAAGTCTCTTGTCATAATTTAAAGACAACGAAATAATGACCATCTTACATTCCAGAAATCCAAAATTTGTAGAACCAAGAATCGTGTTAATGGGAGTGACTTGTTCTCACTCCTAGTGGGAGAAATGAATCTTTTAACTTACTGCTTATCTTTTGCTTTTGATATTATTTAAAAAAATGTTAGCTAGTGAGCTTTATCTATATTTGAGACAAAATTTGACTTTCAATCCTTTTTCCAACTTGGCTCCCTTCTGCTCTGTTATGAATGTCCTGGCTAGCCAGGACAACAACGACCCTGAGTACCTACTATTCAGGCACAGCTGGCCATGTAGTCTTTATAGGAGCATCCTCACTTCCATGTTCAGGCTGGAAGGCAGAATCCTAACCCACATCTGCCTGCTGGAACCATGGTGAATTACTGCATGTAGGTTGTGGAAACATAGAAATTGCCATTGGGTTTCTTTCTAGAAATTTATGTGGTTCCCATCTTCATAGTGTTTCCCTTATACTGAAGCAGGTATAACTTCAGGTTGCAAATAAAGCTCGATTTTTTTTTCCTCTATTTTGTTTCCTAGTCTACTAAGTTATACGGAACAGTATGTAGAGTATGATCCATTTCTTGTGCCACCTGACCCTTCCAACCCATGGCTGTCAGATGATACGACTTTCTGGGAACTTGAAGCAAGGTAAAGACATGGCCTCTTCCTTCCACGTATGTCAGCTATTTAGGGTGTGTGTGAAACAGCAGAGTCAGGAGCTGGCACCTTTTAGAGAGGGTTTTTGCTTTTGCTCTATGTCATCCATGATTTATCATTCTTAGTCAAAAAGAGATTTTAGGCCTGGGCTTCCACACTGAGATTTGCCCTGCTGCTAGAGCGCTGTTCTGCCATGAGAAAGGATGGGGTCTAGTCATCCATGGCAGCCTGGATTGTCACTGTGTTAAATGAAATAAGTGGGCTATATAAACAAGAGAACCACACAATGTTACAAAATATAAAACTGCAGAAAGCTGAGTGTAAATGCTGGTTCACACAGAGTAGGCAAAGTAGGGGAGAAAAGGGCATAAGGAGAGGTTGATCAATGGACATTAAATAATAGTCCCATGTCATCTAGGAGCTCAGGTGTATTATTTGTGAATTTGAAAACTAAACAAAAGGATCCTGAATACTTTTATCTCAGAGACATGCTACTTGAAGAGATGCATTTACCTTGATTTAAACATTACAAGTTGTACATGTTTTATAATATCATATAGTCCTCCATATATACATATATATATTCTTATATATATATATTCTTACATTTATATATATATATTCTTACATCAAATTTTATAGATTCTAATTTTAGAAACAAATTTACATTGCTCAAAGAACTGGCCTAAAATTAGGGCTGACGTTTTAAAGATGGGTTAGTCAGAATTCAGATTTCGGTTTTTCAAATTCAGCTCCTTGCTAATAAATCTTTTGAAAATCCATATAGTCACATAGGCTTGTGTTCGGGGAGAATGGATTCCAAATCCACACTTGATTAAACACAGTGTAAACATGCCTATATTCACACCATTTTATAAATAAATGGATTCACCATAAATACAGAGATACTGACTTTTTAAAACCCAAGCACAATTTAGAACTGCAGATATGTTTGGTGTGCTGTGTGGGCATTGTGGCATCAATCTTAAAGCTCACTCAGAAGTGGTTTAATATATCTTTTCAAAGACAGGGTAAGTATTCAATAGCACTTCTGTTTTGTTTTGCTTTAAGCAGGGCCTCCTGTAGCAGATGTTGTCCTTCAAATTGTTATGGACCTAAGGATGATATCCAGCTCCTCATCCTTCTACCTCTGACTCATAGTCACTTGGATTACAAACCTGTGATATCATACATGGCTCCAGGTTGTATTTCTGGGCCATTTCTCTTATATCCAGCCATGGATCTTAAACATCCACTAATTTAGAAGTCTTCAGTCACAAGTTTTGTACATATATGCACACACACACACAAAAAAAAAATGTGTGGATCTATCTCTATCTCTATCATCTCTATCTCTAGCTCTATCTCTATCATCTCTATCTCTATCTCTATCTCTATCTCTATCTCTATCTCTATATCTATATCTATATCTATATCTATATCTGGAAGCTGGAACCCCCAATCCACCAGTAAATATGGCTCATGTTTAATTGCAACAGAGTCATATGTAGAAATGAGGCCTTCCAGGCACAAATACATCATTCTAAGGATGCCCTACACCATATACTGCAACTGTATAGTGGTTGAAATGGGGTTCTGGGTAGCAGTGGCTGGATTTTTGCCCCTTATTCCTTGTATGACAGGATCATGTTATAACTCTTTAGGCATCAACTTCTTCTATAAAATGAGAGAGGGAATGCCAGTCTCATAAAGTTGTTGAGAATCCATCCAGATTCTTAGTTATAGATTGTGTTATTAATTTAATTTATACCTCACTGTGATTTCATGAAGAATGGTCCATCAGTGATGTATTGCTGTTATACAAGATAAGCTAAAGATGGGCATTCTTCTAAGGCATACATGATAAAGAAAATAGGAATTGGCCTAGGCATAGTGGCACATGTCTTTAATCCTGTACTTGTGAGGCAATAGCAAGTGCAACTCTTGTAACTGAAGAAAAGCAGTGCACGAGAGAAAGATGACATTCGACAGGGTTCAAGCAGTGTTATTTTTTTTTTAATTGGGGAAAGGGATCATAAAAAGGGGGAAAGGGAGGGGGAGACCAGCCTCCAGAGACAGGAGCAGCAGGAAAGAGGAGAGAAGAAGGAGGGAAAATGAGGGGGAGAGAGAGGAAGAGGAACAGATAGGGAGGGAGAAAATGAGAGAGAGAAAGAGTGGAGGTAGGCAGGGCCCTTTTAAAAGGGAACATAGTGAATGTGCACAGGTGGTGCCCTTAGTGGCTGCACCTGAGCACATATCCTGTCAGAACCCCAAGGACAGGCCAAAACTGATGCCTGAATATTAACATCTTGGTAATTCAAGGTCAGCTTGTGTCTACACAGTCACTTCTACGTAAGCCAGGGCTACATAGTGAGAACCTATCCCACCTTAACCACCTTTCCAAATGGAAATTGTTATAAAAAGAATATATTTAACCTTATTTTCTCTCCCACAGCAAAGAACCAAGTCAACAGAGAGTAAAACGATGGGGTTTTGGCATGGATGAGGCATTGAAAGACCCTGTTGGGAGAGAGCAGTTCCTTAAGTTTCTAGAATCAGAATTCAGCTCAGAGAACTTAAGGTGAGATACATTTTGTCATTATGAGGCAAGGAGCCACTGTTTTGTCTAGTTACTTTAGATGTAATAGACCGGTTGCTCTCACAGTATCACAATGATGTAAAGAAAATTCATCTCTGATACCTAAAGATGGAAGAAAGAAAGACAAAGCTATCCAGCATTATCGATTCCTTTTCATAATTTATTTTTACACTTCCACTGGATTTGTTGACTACATAAATTTAGAACTTTTGAAGTTAACCCCATAAAGAATCATGATTCTCAGATCAACATTTAGACAAAATGGGAAATGTCTGTATTAGTCGGTGTTCATGTCATAATGCCTGGCAGAAACAAAGGAAGGAAGATATATTTTGACTCACAGATTCATGAAATTTTAGTCCTTCATGGTGGGAAAGCATGACAGAGCAACTCAGGTCATGGCAATGGGAGTGTATGGCTAAGGCTGATCTAGGAGGCAGAGAGTACGTATGCTTGAATATTATATATGTGTGTGTATGTGTACTATGCATTTCTTGAACTATTATATGCCTATGATGCTTCTTTATTAAATGATGAAGTTCCCACAGCTTTCTGAAATAAAACTACCAACTGGGGACCAGGCATTCAAGACACGGGCAGCATTTCAGAGTTGAGTTTAATCATAACAATGCCCATAGTACTTTTACAGTTATTTTTAAATATCAGCATTTACTCATCAATATTAACTTCCAGTATCACTACTTTGGCAAGAAAGAGAGGGTGAATATCTCAAAGATTTTGGAACTAAAGTCAAAGGGCAGCTTTTATTACTGTGTGCCTTTAGGTGCAGTAGAGCTAGCTGTTGACCACTTCTCAGCCCTTAGCACAAAGAGCTGTTGAGACTAATGATGCATGAAACAGAGGAAGAGGCAGGGCACTTGTTTTGCCCAGCTGTCCTAAACACTATTCTGATCTGTCATAATATTTCATAACTCAAGGGGCAACTAGGAAAAGCTTTTAAATCATGAAGCATTAGAGCAGATATTCATAGATCTGCTTAAGATTATTAAAGCAATATGTTTTCACTACATGAAAATCCCCCCCTTTTTTTTCTGCTGAGGTTCTCCTTTCATTGTTCTTTGAAATCTGATATCCTGTTTTTCCCTTTGCCTTGTCTCACTAGACCCCGTGTAATTCATTTATAGAAGGATATTGACAACTATTTCTTTTCATGGGGACTAAGCTAGCAAAGGACTACCACATTCTCTTTAGGAGCTAATCACAAACATGCATTAAGGTGGCAGATGCCTCAGCGTTAAGGCAGGATGACCCCTGTCAAGACTGGAATCCTTTCATTTTCTCTGTCTGTCATGGATTTTGGGGCATGCTTTCTTCTTGTCTTGTGAGGTTTGGATAATCCTGGGGATTTTTGTTGGGCTTACTAAATCAAATTTTTTCAAGAAAATAAATGGGCCCATGTGATGCTGAAGCCAAGTTCTTACATAAGAGAGTAGAGAGGGGTACCTAACCTGGAGTCACCACAGACATCTTAATGACTTGCAGAACCAGAAATGGCTTCCAGGCTGAGAGCAGGTGATGCGAAGACTGTTGTGCCAAAAAGAAAGAGCAAAGATTAAGCATGGTGTGTGAATTCTGGGCTTCAGGGAGGAACCAAGTCACTGCCAAGTCTTCTTTAACACCTTTGCTATTTCTTATGTTTAATCCTATGCCATTCTAATTTCCCTAAAGAAAGATTATACATAGTAACTATTAGGGCTGAGGAGATGGCCCAGTCAGCAAAGTTCATCTTCTGAAAGCATGGAGACCTGAGTCTGATGCCCAGAACCCATGTTCTAAAGCAAATCTGAGCATGATGGTGCATCACACTGTAATCATAGTGCTACATAGGTGGAGACAGAAAGATCTCCAGGGGTAATTGGCTAGCTGGTCTCAACAGATCAGTGAGCTCCAGGCCAATGAAAGGCACTCTCAAAATCTAAGGCATAGATGGAAGCATAATTCCGTGGCAAAGCACTTGTGCAGCATGTGTGAGAGCCTACACTCAATCCCTGGCACTTGGATTGGATTCTTGATGTAATTCAAAAAGTCAAATGCTTTTTCTCAGAGAAAAGAAAGAAGCAACTCCCAAAGCACATCCACATCGTACATCACACACACACACACACACACACACACACACACACACAGAGATAAAGAATATAAAAGTAAAGAAAAATAAAGAGGATGGCACATCCAGGAAAAGGCACACACAAGTATTAAATATGTCTTATATATGTATATATACATGCATATGTATTTCTTGTATTCTTGAGTTGTCTCTTATATGCATATCATATTTCTTTATTACGTGTAGATAAATGATAGAGAGACACAGGTGTGGAAAGCATTTTAAGGTCCTAAAGTATCCTATGTTTTTTATAACATTACTTCTCTGAGTATACATATAATGCTTTGCCTCCCTTCTCTATGAAAAACATGAAATAATAATCAAAAATATGCATTGTCAATGTTCTTGCCTTATTTCCTAGATAATCAAAGCATGTCTAAAAGTCAGATCAGCATCTTAAACAAGGACAGAATGCACAAAATGAAATTCTTGTTTCTTATGAGCCAGTATGAATCTCTTGTTGACCATTACCCAAGTCTAAACCATACTCTGGCTTGAAGATGGAGGTTTCTGTCCCACCTGGTCCTGCATCTGTTTAGGCCCAAATAAACACATGGATGCTATATTAATTATTAAACTGTTTGACCAATGGATAGGATCCTTACTATCTAGCTCTCTCTTAATTATTAACCCACAACTAATAATCTATGTATTTCTTCTACATGACCTTATCTTACTGGAGAAGGCTCCAGTACATTATTCATTCAGCAACTACATAGCATATCTCCTTGATGGCCTCTCTCTTCTTTTTTCTCCCCAGAATTTTCCTCATCTCCTAGCCCCACCTATACTTCCTGCCTGGCTCCTGGCCAATCACTGTTTTATTCATCAACCAATAAGAGATATATACACAAAAGAACATACCCCATCACTGGCTCCCACCTATGCATCTATTTCCCATACCATAGTGATCCAGACAGCAAGCAGGGCCAGATTTGTAATTAAATTACTCTCATTGTGTCTTTATATAAGCAGCAGAAGCCTCTGAACTAGAGTCCAAAGGTCCTGCTGTCACTGGGACTGTGTCACTTTAGTTATCAGGGTGGAAGTACTCAAGAGATACTGCTTACCCTTCTCTGCTTACTCTTCAAACACACCTTTCTGTCTTCTGTTGCCCATACTTTGCTAAATCGATATGGTAATAGCATGGCTTTTATCATTAGGCATTTTGAGATGCCCTTTATGTAACCTATGCTCTGTACTCGTCACTAGTTCCACTGGTTACTAGGGGTACCCCTGGTAGACGGGCTTTTTCCATGCCACTGTATTGATGAGGAAATCAAGACATGGGATGCCAGGGACTTCCTTAGAATCCAGCTGCTACCACGTGAAGAGTGGGATTGAAAGTGGTACCCTCTCCATCTTACAAAGCTAAGCCAACTGTGCTAATGATAATATGATAAGAATACAGAAGGTGATGCTGTTGTTAGGGAAATAGTGTGATGGAACAGTTGTGAAAATGCTACATATCTTCCAGAGCCACCCTTCAATAAATCACCAGTCTTCATATCTTCACTTCCCTGATCTCTAACATGGGGAGTTCATCACAGTATGGATGTTGTGAAGACTACAAGTACTTGGCATAGTACCTTCACCTACATATGGATTGGGTGTACATGATCACATTACCTACCACTTCTGTGCTTTACCCTTATTTCCAGGTCCATTTAATTTCTGATGTCAGTTCAGGTAGAGTAGGACTCATTCTGGTTCAGCATTCCCGACTCTCTAGTGTATATTTCCTACAGAAACTCCAGTGGTGTACTTCCTAGCATTGCAGCTGTTTTGATATGAACTTTTTTTTTTTTTTTTTTTTTTTTTTTTGCTGTTAGTGCTGTGTTTGAAGATAAAGCCCTTCCTGTGTTGATTGATGCTTCAGTGAAATTGAGACTATACAGGATCAGGACTCTGACACATCTGCTTTTAATAAAAGCCACTGAAAATCAGCGATTCTCAATCCTTCCTTTTAAATCACTTTTTGAATGCTGGGGAGGGAGAAGCATAAAAATCAAGAGTTTAAGGTCATCTCTAGCAACATAGGAAAGTCAAGACCAGCCTGTGCTACAGGAGACTCTATCCTAAAAAATCAAAAATAAAACAAGCAGAAAACAACTTTTGTAGTTTTGAATATGACTCTTAAGAAAAAAACAAAAACAAAAACAGAAAGCTAGTGGGGATCTGATATTGGAATCCCCAGTGAAAGTGAGCTTACTAGAGTAGTGAGAGAACATTAGGTGTGCCTTTGGTGTGCCTTTGGGGCTGAGAGGTGCTGTGGTGTTTTGTAGGTTCTGGCTGGCAGTGGAGGACCTGAAGAAAAGGCCTATCCGAGAAGTACCGTCTCGAGTGCAGGAAATATGGCAAGAATTTCTGGCTCCTGGTGCCCCCAGTGCCATTAACTTGGATTCTAAGAGTTATGACAAAACCACACAGAATGTGAAGGAACCAGGACGATATACTTTTGAAGATGCTCAGGTCAGTCCCACAGCTCTCTGCAGTGTTTAAAGCTCAGTTTCTTTGACTGAGGACAAAACAAAGACATTTCAAAATAAGTCATCTTTTTAACCCCTGGGAATGGGTTTTTTGTTGTCATTTGTTTTGTTTTGGTTTTTTTGTTTGTTTGTTTGTTGGTTGGTTGGTTTGTTTTAGGGGGTTTCAAGACAGAGTTTCTCTGTGTAGCTTTGTAGATCAGGCTGGCCTCTAACTCACAGAGATCCACCTGCCTCTGCCTCCTGAGTGCTAGTATTATAAGTATGCACCACCACCACCACAGAGCAAATTTTTTAAAATATAAATTTAGTGTTTATACATGAGAATTTCATGGGCCATCCAGGATACTCTCACATCATGCATAACTGTACAACAAACTGAGGTTTCACTAGATTTAGAAGATAATGGAACTTAAGCTTTCCTAAACCTGCTGGAATGAGAGGAGCACTTCCCAGATTTGGACCAAGTTGCAGTTAATTGAACATATTCTTTTCTTTGCTTGACTTCTTCTTCAGCAGCAGCTATCGGTAGAATGCAAGAGAGGCTAAGGTGTAGCTCATCAGGAAAGCACTTACCTAAAATGCATGAGGCTTGATCCTCAGTTCAAAGGCCAGGGAGGAAGAAGAACTCGGCACACTTATTAGGGACAGATGACTAACATCACCATATAAGAGAAGAAGCATGGGAATTTTGAAATTTGTCATTTCACTAACCCAACAACTAACTTCAGACTTGAGCTCTGGCCTAAAATAGGTATAGAAGATAATTTATCATGGATTGGTCCCAAGAGTGAGATCTACCCAGGCTGCCTGGCTCTCCCAGCAGCTATAGGTGCCTAGAGCCTCCGAGATGACTATACAGTCTTGATGTCACTTTGGGCTTGGAGTCATTTTCAAGAAAACAGATTTGTTTCAATTCTCAAATGTTCCACATAAATTGTCACATTGATTTCAAGATATTTCAAACGTCCCCTTGGCTAAATTCTATTATTAAAGAGATCACATATGGTTTCTCTTCTTGAGTAGGTCCCAACCCAGTGTAAACATTGATCTGGGAAATAAATGATGACTGGAAAGTTTAAATATCCTGCAAGCATGAGCTGTTCCCATCAGCGCTATAGTTGCTATTTTTAGCTACTTCTGCGTTTGTTCTTTAGATACCTGATTGTCCTCATCTCAGTGCTTCAATCTTCCATTGAACTGATAAAGGAGCCCCTCACCCATTCTCTCTTTCCAGGAGCACATTTACAAGCTGATGAAGAGTGACTCATACCCCCGCTTTATAAGATCTAGTGCCTACCAGGAACTTCTACAGGCAAAGAGAAAGGTACTGGTTCTTTGTGACCTCTCTTGACCTTAGTTCTTAATTATAATTAATAAGAGTAAATGTCTCTGTGGGGCCAGGGTTTCAATCAAAGGGTAAGTATCCATTCTCTAAAGACCTTTCCCCCAACCCCTCCATTTCTAAGGGTCATTTAAGTTGGTTTTGCTTCTGTTTGTTGATTGCTCTGTGTATCATTTTTTTTTTTTTGGTTGTTTTTGCAGATGTCCATGCTTTACAGAGGCTATTAGAAGGTTGTTTTCATGTTTATTGTTAATCTTTCATATTGCTAGTTAAAGGAAATGGAAAAACTCCAATCAAATAAAAAGTCGAGTGCTGAAACTTGAAGACAGTTTTGTTTACTTACAAAGGTAGCTGTATGTTTATAGGGAGACATAAACTTATGTTTTTCAAGGATAGCTGCTAAAGGCAGATAAATATTTTCATTTGACTTATATCCCAAACTATTTAGTATCTTGATAATCTATTTCAAACTAAGATGGTAAGCAAGCACAGTTGGGTAGTAGCAGTAGACTTCATTAATTAATTAATATTTGTAATCAAAGTCTCATTGTACACAAAACCCTTATATGACTAATGTAACATTAATTAGAAAATATGTAGAGAAAAATCAACTTTATTCATTATTTTTAATGTTAAAAACCATGGATTCTTACAATTCTAAAATTAAGCTACAGTTCTCTTAATTTATCATTTAAACTAATGTGATATTTTTATAGACCATTGCCATTACAGATAAAAATAGTTGCAAGTGGCTATACTGCCCAGAGTGGCAATTGTTAATGTTTAAAATTAATTTTAATTAAATGAAACCACACAAATTTCTAGCCAACCAATACAAGTTTGAAGATACTGAGGTCAGTACATAGTCTAACCTCTCAGAGCCACAAGACTGACAGCTTTCTGCAGTGTTTAAAGCTCATGTAAATATTCATAAAATAAGTTTCATTGATTGAGTACAGAACAAAGACATTTCAAAGTAAATCATCTTTTAAACCCCTGGAAAAGTGCTCAGTCACTGTAAGAGGCTCTAATAAGAGACAGAACCAAGTGGGATATCCATCCTTGGAGCAAAGTCTAGCCTACAGAAACTCTAATCAAATTAATGCTATCAACAGAAATTCAAACTTCATGGACTATTAAGAGTTGATTCTAAAGAAATTCTAGTGGATTTCCAGATATTTAGGCTTTGCAAATATCAGCATAAAAGCTACCATATTTTCCTCATTCTGCTTGATTTTTGCTTTAAATTGCACCATTTTGTTTGTTCAAGTATAATTTTGGGTTTTATGATGAAATCACCCAAAAACAAAGAACCTGGATTCAGTGATGAGAAGCATCTCTTGGCAGTCCCGCTGTCATGTGGGCATGGGTTTCATACGTGGGCTTAGTGTAGCATTGTTTTACCATCCTGTCTTTTTCTGTTCTGTTTTTCTTGCCTTTTTTTTTTTTAATGTTCCCTCATCTCCCTTCACCCTACCCCACATCACACATTTAAGTCTGAAAACTCAATGGATCGCAGAACATCTTTTGAGAAATTTGCACAGAATGTGGTAAGTTTTACTTTTTGAGTAATTGCAAGTCATTATCTCCAACAAAAATTCCCCTAGTTTTAGTCCCATTGCACACCTTGCGTTCTTTGACACCAAAAGTATTGTCTTTATTTAAACCCATAATCCTGCTTCCTACTTATCTCTCTCCCCAACCCTTTATACAGTAGAAAAAAAGCTGTCATGCAGGAACAACCACATGAGCTGACTAAGGTTTGGAAAGAAGTATATATAGCATGATGTATACAACGAAGGAATAAGTTACTCTTTGTGTCTGTGTTCCATGTATTCTTTTCCTTACTAATGATAGTTGCATGCATTTCTTTGTTCTTACCCTAAGCTCTTCATTATGCTTAAAAAATTAAGACAATGAAAGCAATGTTCTTTTGGTCTTTAAGAGGAGAAAATGGTCAATTGAGCAGTTTAAAGCCAAGTGGCTATTGGTAGCAAGCCAATCTCCCTACCCTTAAAAAGAACTACCACCTTCCCACTCTTAGTCTTTATTTTCCACAAATATGTTAGAAACTGTTGCATTAATCTAAGAAACCAGTAGCTTTACTCTCAGAATGTTCTTAGCCTCTTGCCATGTGTTTTGGTGATATATATTTGTTTGTTGGATCTCTTGTTTTATTTTTTTTTCTTTTCTTTTCTTTTCTTGTACTGTGCCAACGCCTTTGGAACTTTCTGACATTGTATAAGCTCAAACTAAAGACTTCAACACATTTATTTTTATAGGGCAGAAACATCCCTATTTTCCCATGCCATAAAAACTGTACACCAACACTGAGGGCCAGCACTAACCTGTTATGAAAAGAGGTAGAACAATCTTGGTTTCTACTCAAGTTTGTCTGCATCATCTGTGGAGTCATGTGGTTAGCTCCATGCTGCTCTTTGTGTGTGTATGTGTGTGTGTGCTGTGGCTTTTGCTGTGATAGTCAACTTAAGTGGAGTTACGTGTGCTGAGATATAAGCAACATGAATTCAACAAACTCAATGTTTATTTTCAGTTTCCTTCAAGGGTTCACTACCTTGGGAAATGCTAATCCACTCTACATCTGCTATGACTATACAAAGAATTAGAAAGATTTTAAACAGCTACATAGACTTTGAACAATCAATGTGATTGCATCAATTAAGAGGTCAGAGAATGACAAATTCCAAAAATTAATCACATTACACATTTCACAAAGCTTTGGCTATCTCTATTGGAATCTCTGCCCCTTAACACAGAGTTTCCTTTTAAAATATCTCATAAGTCACAATGGAGAACGGCAATGACAAACTATCTCCCTAAGATTTTTACAGGGGAAAGAAGCCACAATATATCATCAGGTACTCTGTGTAACACTAAAGAATTATTTAAAGTGAATCCCTTTCTAATGTAATGTGGAAGGAATATTGGTTTTTGGTTTCTTTTTTAGATTGTAATAGAAGTTTCTGTGATGGAATTTAAAATAGTAATGTGACTTGGGGGACATGGAAGAGAGAAATACATTTTTTTCCTCCAACTCCAACCCATATCTCACTCACTTCCACGTTTCTGAAATAGTGCTGCATGGTCCACAGTGGGCACCTTTAAAAACCACAAACCACTAAGAAAAAAGGGGAAGCTGGGCTTGAGCAGCTCTCTCTTCCACCAAAACTTATACAGTTACCTGCTTAGTTGCAAACACAGTGCTTCATCTTGGGAATCTGTATATGGGATAGAGTTTGCCTCAAAAGTGCCTAGTAGTATAAACAAAATGAAAGTATGTAAGGGGAAAGCTGAATCCCTTCTATTTGGTGCTATGTCCAGTTGCAGAATGCTCAGAAGGAATAGCATTTAATTTTTTGACTGTATTAATAGGACTTCACTAGTCAGGATGGGCCAAACCTTCTTTAAAAGGGAGGAAGAGGGAGGTCAGAAAGGCTGAAGAGAAAAATGGAATTCTCTCTCTCTCACACACACACAACACACACACACACTTACATATAAAACATACTAATTACTTTCAGAAAGCCCTCATATAGCATTAATTCTTTTCCATCTGAGAAAATAAAATATGATCATTTTTATTGTTTGAATTATTTATGAATATTCTGTTTGGTGTTGCTGTGAATAAATAATTAAGGAAATTAAAGGTCTCCAAATGAACCCAGAATGAGTTCAGGCCCAGCAGCTGTATTGGGGATCATAAATGTTGGCATGCTGAGTTTTATTAGAGACCATTATAGGGTCAATAAAATAATTTCAACACAAGTAAAAATAAAATATGTGATTATAAGATAGAGACATACTAGGGGAAAGGTCAAATTTGCAGAAGCATTTCAATGGAGCCCTAGATACAGGTGGCTCTGGCAGAGCAGGAATACTACATGAAGGACAGGATGTAAGGCAAAACGGAACAGAGAAAACACACATAAGCAGATCTCACTGTGAAACTGGGGGATATGAGATGACAACACTGATTACTGATTACTTGCTATGAAACAAGGTCTATACCAAGAACATTGTGCTATCTAAATTAATCTGACCCTAGAAGGTCGAATTATAGTACACATCTACTCACCCATTTTATAGGTGAAAAAGTAATTGGAGAATGCATCTTTAAAAAATATAATTTTCCCAAAATGACACAGTGAAGGAGATGGCTGTGGCCAAACCTTATTTCCTATTCGCCACCCAGTCACAATCTCCTCTCCAATCCAGACCACTTCAGGTAAATGCTGATTTTAGGGAGTTCAGTTTATGTGTTTCCAAATAACACATCTGTAACCTGGGTGATAAGAAGAGAATCACATCCCCCCCCCCCAGCCCAGAGTCAATGTTTTTGTAACCATCATTTCCCAAAGCCATGAAAACACTCATTACTCATTAGTTACCTGACCTACCAGTCTCTACCCCCTTATCCCCGTCCACCAGGCACATCAGAGGACCATCCTTACAGCCGACTGTATTCCCAGGACATCTCTTCCCCATCGTATGTCTGCTTGTTGTCTGTATGCTCAACAATCCCAGGGTGCTTTGGGGCAGGTGTTACCTTGCTTTCTCAGTGAAGCCACTTCCCAGCATCACTGATTGCTGAGTGTTATAGCCAGGATTGGAGGCAGAATTTACTTACTGAAACGTATTACTCTCTGCAAACTGCCTTTGTTCTTCCCCCTAAGCCCAAAACAGGTGATACGAGTATAATTCACAGTTGTGCAATGTCTTCACACTGGCTTGTCTCAAGGGAAAAATAAAACAACCTATTATCTGTGACACACTCTTTTGTTTCTCTATTATTCTTACCATTAGAGCAATCCCTTAAGATCCGTTTTTCAAAGGTCACTGTGTCCTTTCATGCCCTCAAGTGTCATTCATACTAAGTTGGCTTGATTCTTCTCTCCTATGGAGCCTGTGTTTTACTGACTGTGAAAATTATTTCCTTTCTCTTTCATGATCATGTGTATCAC